AAACTGCTTAGAGAGGGCTGTAAAGCACTGTGAAGCGATATAGAAGTCTAAGTGCTGTTGCTATGTCTTCTTTCTATCTTCTTTCTCCAGTAGATCTTTGCGTTCTTTTATCATGCATCTTTTCAAGGTACAAACAAGCAGCCCTTTGGCTTTCTACATTTCAGGATATTTTTGCTCGATTAATCTTCAATGATAACATTAATTTCAGCCTAGATTTTTTTAAGGCACTCTTTATCAAAACAATCCATTAAATCTATTCTTCCCTTTTACTGCGTAAACATTCAGAATACTGCTGAGGTTGTAGCTTGTTGGCCTGATGATTTTATTTGTGTGTTTTAGTTCAAGTTGTAATTTTACAAGAAGGAATTTGTTACCTGAGACACAATCGGTGTCTGGGTTTGTCTCTGTTGACAAAAAAGAGCTTCTTCAGAGGACAGAGTCAACTTGTTCTTGGTGTGCTCCATCCAGTGATGTCTATGTGTAAAGCAATTTTTCGGTTATTAGAAGAGGTATCCTCACCCTGAATGTTCTTGGCAGAATTCTAGTTATCGATCTTCTATTACTTTCATTCTCAAAGTTCAAATTTTCTTGTTATTCCAGATGTTATTCCAGTTGCCTATGGCATCATCTACCATCATCCCAGTGCCAAAGAAGCCCTCCATCAAGGAACTGAATGACTACAGACCAGTTGCTCTAACATCTGTAGTTATGAAAATCTTTGAAAGGCTTGTGCTGTCCCACCTGAAAACCATCACGGACCCGCTGTTAGATCCCATGCAGTTTGCATACAAGCAAATAGACCGACAGATGATAGCAATAGCACTTAGAGTTATATTCCACTTTATAGTGCTTTACAGCCCTCTCTAAGCGGTTTACAGAGTCAGCATATTGCCCCCAACAATTTGGGTCCTCATTTTACCCACCTCGGAAGGATGGAAGGCTGAGTCAACCTTGAGCCTGGTGGGATTTGAACTGCCAAACTCTAGGCAGCTGGCTGCAGAAGTAGCTTGCAGTACTGCACTCTAACCACTGCGCCACAGATGATGCTGTTAACATGGCTCTGCATTACATCCTACACCTTGAATCTCCCAATACCTACGCGAGGGTCCTCTTTGTAGACTTCAGATCAGCATTCAATACCATCATTCCAGACACTCTTCCAAGTAAATTAAACCAACTAGTGGTACCTGAACACACTTGTAAGTGGATCATAAGCTTCCTAACAGACAGGAAGCAGTAGGTGAAGCTAGGCGGAATCACATCCGATACCTGTACAATCAGCACAGGCCCCTCCCAAAGCTGTGTGCTTTCTCAACTTCTCTTCTCCCTATATGCCAATGACTGCATCTCAAACGATCCATCTGTTAAAATACTGAAGTTTGCTGATGACACAACAGTGATTGGTCTCATTCGAAACAACGACGAATCCACCTACAGACAGGAGGTTGTACAACTTGCCTCGTGGTGTAACCGGAACAATCTGGAACTGAACACACTCAAAACCGTAGAAATGGTGGTAGACTTTAGAAAAAACTCTCCCATACTACCACTCTCACAATACTAGACAACACAGTATCAACAGTAGAGACCTTCACATTTCTAGGTTCTACTATATCACATGACCTAAAATGGAGACCTAACATCAAAAACGTCATCAAAAAAGCACAACAAATGTTCTTTCTGCACCAACTCAGAAAGCTCAAACTGCCCAAGGAGCTGCTGATCCAGTTCTACAGAGGAATTCTTGAGTCTATCATCTGCACCTCTATAACTGCCTGGTTTGGTTCTGCAACCCAACAGGACAGACACAGACTTCAGAGGGTAATTAGAACTGTAGAAAAAACAATTACTACCAACCTGCCTTCTGTCGAGGACCTGTATACTGCACGAGTCAAAAAGAGGGCGGTAAAAATATTTACAGACCCCTCACATCCCAGACATAAACTATTTCAATTACTTCCCTCAGAACGACACTATAGGGCACTGCACACCAGAACAACTAGACACAAGGACAGTTTTTTCCTGAAAGCCGTCACTCTGCTAAATAACTAATTCCCTCAACACTGTCCAACTATTTACAAAGTCTGCACTGCTATTACTATTAACCTCTCATCACTCCTTATCACCCATCCCCTCCCACTTGTGATTGTAGGACTGTAACTTGTCGCTTGTATCCTTACGATTTATACTGACTGTTTCCTAGTATGATTTGATGGCTTATTGTACCCTATGACTATCATTAAGTGTTGGACCTTATGATTCTTGATTCTTAATTAATGTATCTTTTCTTTTATGTATACTGAGAGTATTTACAGTAAGACAAATTCCTTGTGTGTCCAACCACACTTGGCCAATAAAGAATTCTATTCTATTCTATTCTATTCTATTCTATTCTATTCTATTCTATTCTATTCTATTCTATTCTGGGCTGGATTTAAGATACTGCAAGTTATTCTAGAATTGTTCTGCTTCCTCTGCATTGGTGCTTGGAGCACAGCTATGGACTATCATAATAAGGGTTGGTTTCAATTTGAAGTGAGTTAATTCTATAATTTTGGGGGTTATACCCAACTCCTGACTTTGATATCCTTTTGTTAATGGACTTCAATAACATTTGAGGGACTTCAATGTTTGTAGAAGACAGAGCCTTTGGTCATTTTAGAAGAAAGAGGAAAAATCACTACAGAACAATGATCAAACAAGCATGGTTTAAAGCCCTTCCAAATTTGAATAAAAGTCTCAGACAGACTCCTTCCTAATTCACACAAAGATAAATTGAGGAAGCGGGAAAGTCCATTCAGAAATTTCAAGATTCTGTGGCTACAGCTTTTCCAGTAAAAGTAGTTTTATAGAATATGGCACTGGTTTCTTAGTTTGGGTTAAGTTTACAGGGCTGACAGGTTGGTATGTCCACCCTTATGTTCCTTTATCTCTCAGTGACTGATGATGCCACCAATCATGTATCTCTCTGGACTGGCTGTGGGGTTTGGCTGTGAGGCTACCATGTTACAGTAGTCTTCCTCCTTCTGTGATTGGTTCCAATCCATATTAATGAAGGAAAGAGGTTGTGCCTGCAAACTTTCATTTCTTGGAATTCAAATGTTCTTGCATCTTCTGTTTAAGCTTCCCACGAAATGGCTGGGTCAGATCATCTGTGAATTTGAACTCTTGTAGGCAGATGACTCCCCAACTGCACATCTCAACCCCAGGTAGCCCAGGTGAAGCTATTCATGTACTAACCCAGTGTCCGGAAGAGTCTTTGGATCTGGATGAGGAGAAATAGACTCGGGTTCAATCCTGATAAGTGTCTGTGTATACTTGGGCCCCATGAACTGAGGGAGTTTTCATCTTTGGTCTTGGAGGGGGTCACAATTCTCTATCTGAGACTGGAACCCTATCTGTCTTGGACTCTGGCTTCTGCCAAAACAATAGGTGGAAGATTTGCCAGGAGAGATTTTGCATGGGTCCTTCTATTGCAACAGCTGCATCTGCTCCCAGGTTGGGAGGCCTACAATGGATCCAGTAGTGCAAGCAAAGATGGTGGGCCATGGAAGGCCCAAGTCCTATTGCTGCTCTTCATGCTGTAGTGGTTGTCATTTGGCCTCCAGGTGCAATTCAAGGTGCTGGTTATCATCTACCAAGCCATTCCTAATAAAGGGCCTGGTTATTTGAGGGATCACTTAAAGCCAATAATCATCCTAGAAGATGAGACGAAGTGGGTATGTTCTAGATCCCTTTGTTCAACAATGTCATCTTTTGGGATCTAGATATTGTTCCTTCTTGGTTGGGTTCTCGCTTGCCTTTGGAACAGCCTTCCCCCAGAAATCCATACAGCTGATGAGGTTCTGTAAATCCTTGAAAATTTGATTTTCATGATTCTGGGCACCTTCCAACTTAAAAAGTAAAGAACAATAAATAAAAATAAAAGATCATGCTCATCCGGAGAAAAGAAAGACTGCACACCAAAGAACAACCAGCAAGGATTCAACAACCACCCTTCCCCAAAGTATGGGTTTCCCCAAGTCAGGTTTTCAAGGATTTACACAAAACCTCATCAGGGTGGGAGCTGTATGGATTTCTGGGGAAAAGCTGTTCCTGAGGCAAGCAAGAAGCCAACAAAAGAGGAACAATATCTAGATCCCAAAAGATGACATTGTTGAACAAAGAGTATATATACAGTATATAGGTGCTTCTGGGCACAATGGCAGCTGCTTGTCCTTCCAACTTTAATCCAGTCATGTCACCAGCAGTAGTACTACTGATACTCGCCCTCTGTTCTTCCTCAACAGCTTCCACTCCAGGAACTCATCTTCCAGTTGCATCTTAACTCTGGTTTTTAATGTCCACTGGGTTCTCTGAACAGAAGTGTGTGTGTGTGGGGGGTCTCATTTCCTTCTCTAAGGAGTTGTATTTGTCTATGCCACGGCCATCAAGGGTGACCTTCTGGAGACAAACATGGCCAACAGTATACTATAGTTCATAACATCACTTCCTCCCTCTACAAATCTCTTCCCTCTGCATAGCGATTATCCATGAAAAGGATCATTAAAATATTGTGCTGTTATTGAAACAAACAGGGGGACTAAAAGCTCAGGCAGACCTAGTGAGCCATTTTAATGCTCATTCCACTCTGTAAACACCCTCAGTAATTTCAGACATTGATAATCTCACTTGGCTATTTTTCAGTTCTTGGTACAAAAATGTTTGAATCCATCACCCCCAATTTCTGATTACTCCATCTTCCCTCACTTACAAACTTCCTTGTTTATATCATTTCTGACTGGCTGGCACAACCAAGAATTGATAATGCCCCTAACCTGGGGGAAAAAAAACAAGCAGTAAGCAAGCATGTGAAATACATTTCTTGCCGTCTTCCAAAGCTCAATTTTAAACATAAAATTCAAAAGGAGAAGACCGCAGGTAGGGCTTTACAGCGTACTCAAGATGGCAACCTTCTTCCACAAGGAATTGACTTCTCAAAGCATCCTAGAGGTTCTTACCATGGGCATCACGGTAGTAAGCATGGGTGACACTGCGGAACCTCTCCTGGCCAGCTGTGTCCCAAATCTGAAAAGGGCAAAAAGCAGAAAAGCACATGATAAAGAAAGTAAGTCATCCTGCAGCCCAAGTATTGACAGAATGGGACAACTTGTGACCAACTCGCCATAGCCAACTTATTATTCATGTTACAACACTGACAATCTTTTCCACGGAATGACTGTTTTCCAATATTTATCTACTTGGACTTCATAATGAACTTGAATTATGGCAGATAATATATAGACTGAAGTATTTTCTTTAAAAAATAAATTAATCATCTTGAGTGACAGATCCAGCATGCCTCTTGGTTGAAAGCCATTCATCCATGCACACTGGGTTACAGACTCAGGCAGAGCAGTTAAGGTAGAGGGTTAAAACTGGGGAGATTCGGGTGATACCTTCAAACATGGAAGTTCATCAAATGACCGTGTCACTCTCAACCCAACCTACTCTATTCTTCCTATGGTTTAATCTCCAGGCTTTTGATCATCTTAGTTGCTCTTCTCTGAACTTTTTTCAAAGTCTTTGTTGATAGAAAGACTGTGAAGCATCTCGGGAGATAATTATACCAGTAAAGAAGGTTCAGATGGATAACTTTGTATATGTAAAATGAAGGAGGAAGGAGGATAGTGGATGGATATAATTTGGCCAAATGAGATAAGGGAATAAGTGAAGGTGGCAAATTTGTGCATCACAGACATAGTTGAGAAAGGAGGTAGAAGGCTATGACCATCATCAATGAAAAGAGATTTCAGATCAGCCATGGGGGTCTTTGAGATTTTGTTGTGACTATCACTTCCCCCAGTTTGTCATACATGTTGCTATATGTGAAGATTCTGGAAAGAGATGTCTCCTATTGATGGCAGAACCTGGCATTTCAACTTGGGTTTGTCTGAAGTGATAACTGGCTTAATCTATGAAGGTGGACATACTGTACCAAGTTTTCATCTCAGACCATTTCAGAGCATGATCTGGAGATGGAACACTTGATAACTAGTTCTTTGCCATTGGGCAGGTCATTTTGGGATCAGCTTGAGGCTAGTCACCATTATCAACCTCGGTCTTTGAACCATCACAGATGCTTTCTGGATCTGCTTGGATTACCACAGATGCACCAAGACAAATTCCTTGTGTGTCTAATCACACTTGGCCAATAAAGAATTCATGAAGAATTCATCCATCCATCCATTCATTCATGTTTGAGGGCAACCAGCAACACCATGGGGAATTCTTTGATGAACCCCGTTAGCCACTTATACAGAGGCTGCTATGGTGCTGGATCAGGTTGCCCATTTGTGTCTCTTTCTGACTTGGTGGGTGTTCATTTACCAGGAGATTGGCAGAAAAGAGACCTGGAACACTTGGGATAGAAAACTGAGAGCAAATATGATTGAGGAATAGCAGAGCCTCATGTTCAGATCCACAATGTGTGCTTAAGGGAAGTATTCCTTATTTCTCCGACCTTGTATACTTTAGGACTATCACTTTGTCGATGGTATCTTATGATTTATGACTGTATCTTATGACTGCGATTTATGATTTATCACTTTGTTGCTTGTATGTATATTGAGAGCTTATGCACTAGAGACAAATTCCTTGTGAGTCCAACTACACTTGGCCAAAAAGAATGTTCTATTCCTATTCCCCTACCCACTTTTTCCATTCCATTCCATTCATGGAATTCTATCCAGCAATGGGACATTATTTCAGTAGGATAACTTTAATATTTCAGGTGCAGCTCTGGCTTCTTTGGCTTTTGAAAAGAACTGAAGGTCCCAGTTTAATGTATAAACCCCTGCTGGGTTTGTTCAGAAGATATTTATGGGAACATCTCCCCCAAGTCGGCTCAGGCTGGCTGTTCACTCTGCCTGTGACAAGATGTTCTGGGTATCCTGAGTCCAGGAGGCGAATAGAGAAGCTAACAAATAAATAACATCTGAATCTAGCAGGAAGCTGGTTGCTCTACCGAAGGAACAAAAGAGCAAAACATTCAGAATCAAAACTGACACATGGCTTGGCTTACCTGCAGTTTTACTTTGACGCCATCCACATTCAAGACTTTATTCTGGAAGAGAAAAAAAAGAAAGAACTTGGCATCAGGTAACATACCTTCTAACTAGAAGACTCTTGTCAGGATTCCAGCAATCGCTCTAATTAAATCATGATTCTCGAGCCAAACTTCAAGAAACTTCAAAAGATTTATTAGAGGCAACATACTGGCACTGCCCTGTATGAAGCCAACTCTGGCATACGTAATTTATAGTCACCTATGACCCCATTTCCTCCCTTCCTCCTGGGTGTGTCATAAACCAGATTCTCCAATTAAGCACGTTCAGGGCTGTCATCCATCACGTTCTCCAATTAAATACATTCCTGGGCAAAAACTCTGATAGTTTAGTTACAACCTTTTAAAGATAAGAGTTGGAATGTACTTTCGCTTTCAAACTGCTGTACTGCTCTTCCAGATTTCCTTCCTCCCCCCCTACCCCCGGCTTTTTTTGGCAATTACTAAAACAAGCATAGGAATGTTTGGTGAGTTATGACAACTCCTTTGGCGAGAGTTATATAACCTCCCTGGTTGTTTAAGACCCAGGAAAAAGAAAAGAACCTGCAGGATATTCTAGTGTCCTCGACTTGCAACCATTTGTTTAAAGATTGTTGGAAATTATGGCGGTACTGAAAAAAGTGAGTTACAGCTGGTCCTCATACAAGTATTTTTTCCCCACCACCAGGAATTTTCAGTTTAAAGCAGTGAATTCTCCACCGTTACAATGTGTGAATTTCAACTTCCAGTATTCCCCAGAAATCCACACATCTTAAACTTGCCAAGGTTGGAAACGCTGTTTTAAAGCAATACAATTATTGACACAGCTATTCCCAAAAATAATAATAATAATTCTTAAAGCAGCAACCTAGAGCTTCGCAATGGAGAGAGGGGGCAAGGAACAGACTGGAAAGGGTTGCATAGTTCAGCATTCAAAGGAGCCCGAATCCAATTTCGGCTGCATTCTCCCATTGCTGTAGATATAACAGACTGTGAGAATAACCTTGGGAGACAGGAGGAAAAGCCGGACAATGGTCTGATAAGAGAAATCAGAATCCAAAGGAGCAGATGGGGTGGAGAAAGCATCACAGAAGGACCCCCCCCTAATATGCTGAAATGCTGGGGAGTGGGGGGGAAGCACTTACAGACTTACACTATTCAGCTACTGTAATCTTACAATAAAATTTGTATTAGTAATCTAGGTTTTGGTTTCCTGATCTGGACTACCTCAGAGGACTGACAACATTATTGTGCTGCCCCATTCCCTACACACACATGCACGTATGTACAGCAAGATTCAAAACACACACCCAAACAGATCCTCAGAAAACATCCCCGCTGTGCAGGTCTGCATTCTGAGCTCAGTATGGCAAGAGTCACTGGATAACAAAGTCCAACAGGCACACACGAAATCCAAGAAAGAAGTCCACACATCGAACGTGTCAGGATACACAGCATGAGCACACAAGGCACAGAACTGGGCATGTTGCTCCAGCAATGCTTAATTCTTCGGGGTGGGTTTAAGGAGGCAATGCCAGTGCAGCCCTTCATGAGAGGTGAGGTCGCCTCCTTGCAAGCAGTCTAGCTGCCTGGCATTGTGACTGTCTCCTCTCTGCCCTACATTTTCTTGGATTGGGGGGAGGTGTGGACTCCACCTCCTCCTCATTGCTAACAGGCGGCAGCTGCTCCCAGTCCTTGCCTGGAGCCTCCTGGCCAACTAGCTTCAGCTGTGGCTCCCCTTGCTCAACCTCAGCCTGTCTGTCCTCTGATGACCGAGCTGAGGCTGCTGCTTCAGGCTATCACTCTTCAAACCCCAACCCTGACCAACACTTGGCTCTGTGCTTTCCTCTGCTGACTCAAACTCATTGTTTCCCTCTGAACTCACTTCTGAAGAAGGTTCTAGTGGTTGACCCTGTTAGGAATATAAGTCACCTAACAGGTATTTGGGTTAGAAATATATAAACCAGGATAGACATTTTAACACTGTCTCTTTAAGAAAATGCAAAACTGTAATTAGGTGTGGTTTCTCAAACGGCCATAAGATGGAGCTAGAAACCTGGTTTGTCTTAGTCTGAGTCTCAGAAGAGAGTGAATCTCTGTTTCCTTCTGTTGGAAAGTATTGCCGTTCCTCCATTTTTTCTAATTGACTGATATTCCTGGATTTAATGTAAGTCTGATACTGAACTGTTTTTGACACTGGACTTTGTTATTGAATTATCCCTGGACTAAAAAACTGACTGATCTTAACCTGTGAATAACTTTGGACTGCCTATTTTGAACTTTGCTTAAACCTTTCTGGAAGTAAAAACCTGCCTTTACTGTACAGTGTATCTGTGTGCTCTGTGTGTATTATTCCAGCACTTCTCTCAAATACGTCTCCCTGTACGTGCTCATTCTCCTAACGGGGAATTATCTCAACAGACCCTGAAAACCTAAGAAGGATTTAAAGGATTTGTCTGAAATGATATAGGGTTTTCTGCTTGACAACGAGGTTGGGCTAGAACAGGGGTCGCCAACCTTTTGGACCTCAGGGACCACCAAACTCATCATTTTAAATCCCACAGACCAGAGACCCTGGAAAAATCCCCAAAAAAGTCTGCAGGAAAATTACCCACCCCACTTTCCTACCGATCGATTGTTCTTTATTTGGGATCACAGGTTACCATCTCCAGCTCTGTCCTCAGGGGGAGAGAGAGAGAGAGACTTTTGGCATCATGCAAGGAAAGCAGCAGAAGCAGCAAAAGTCTTTCTTTCTTTGCCCCAAACTCCGCCAGAAACGAGTCTTTGTGAGACTTGTCATGCCAGCGCAGCCTCTTGGAGCAGGAGGCCTTGCAGGGTCCCAAAGACTCATTTCTGGCAGAGTTTGGGGGAGAAAAAGAAAGACTTTTGCTGCTTTCCTTGCATTCAGCCAAAAGCAGAAGAAAGAAGCGAAAAGAAGCAGCCTGGTGGCCAGGTGAGGCACGTGGGGTGAGTGGGCAAGTTTCCCCCCTCTGCCCTTTCCCCTCACTACCTCGTGTTGTTCACAATGCAAGTGACACAAGCCTTTTGTTCCCGCAGGCCATGTGAGCAGTGCAGCCTTGTGTTCCCGCGCAGCCTGGATTAATTGCTTTGGGGAGTGCTCTGGGGGTGACATTTCTCTGTGGACCACCAAAATTTTCTCACAGACCACCAGAGGTCCTTGGACTGCCGGTTGGCGGCCACTGGACTAGAAGACCTCCAAGGTCCCTTCCAACTCTGTTATTCTGTTAAAAAGATCAGGAAAACTGCAGAACTGCCAGAAGACTGAGAAGATGGACCATCAGTCTGCCTACCTATCTCCTTGATAACAGCAAACGCTCTCAACTTTTCTTCTTGATGCCTCCAGGAACCGCACCGGCTCCTAATTCCCTCCCTGCAGGAGGAGCTTGCTCCATCTTGGATGAACCTGCCTCCCCAGAGATGGAGGAAGTGGATTGTAAATTCCTTGGCCAGAAAGCCACAAGTGCTACTTTGTGGGGAAAGAGCTGCTGCAGCTTTGAGGTAAAGCCTCAGAACACAAGATGACATCAGTGGGCATCCATCTAAATTAAATTTGACAGTTAAATTTGAAAAATAATTACAGGGCAACTCTGATAGTTCTGGGTTCAAAGACAAAAGCCAAGAGGAACTACTCGATCTATCATTATTAATCATAACCATAATAAACACTGTACACCAGTGATGTTGAAAATGTTCTGAACTGAACATGACTGTTTCCAGTGATGCCACCTTGGAAGAAAATAGTCCATAGCCCAAAATAATTTCTTGCTCTGAGTTTCTTTCTACAGCTCTTATGTTACATGGAGTGATAGTGACGGTCCAAGCCAGGGGTGGGGTGCAAATATTTTTACTACTGGTTCTGTGAGTGTGGCTTGGTGGGCATGGTTAGGTGGGCACGGTCATGTGACTGGGTAGGTGTGGCTTCTTCTTTTTTTGCAGAAACCCCCCCCCTCCCACTCCATTTTTTTGCCTCCTGGGCCTCAGGGAAGCTTCCTGGGCAAAGCAGTAAGACAGCGAGGGGGATCCCAGCACAGCTGATCATCAGAACAGCTGATCGTTGGGAGGGGGAAAAAAACAAATACCTTAAGGAGTGACTGGGCAAGGAGAATGCAGTCAGTGATGTCGGGCATGCATGCAATGTCGTGCATGAGCGATAAGGACTGACTGGGCAGGGAGGGAGAGGCGGGCAGAGAGGGACGGGGCCAGCCAGAGGCACAATTTGCCGGTTCTCCGAACTGCGCAGAATCGTAACAACCAGTTCTATAGAACCGGTCTGAACCGGTAAAATCCCACCTCTGGTCTGAGCTAAAACTACTCTACAGGGAAAAAAGTCAAAGGAGATCATTTTTCATGTTTCACAAATTACCATGGCAAACACCGAAGCATTAAACATACAGTTAGTTGGCAGTTTCTACATTCACAAGTCATCAGAACGGTTTGATGGTGCCTTCAAGCCCTTTCTTGGATTGGTTCCATCATTTTATACTCCCTGTACTAGAAAACTCTTGAAGGTAGAGGATGATAGGATCTAAGAGAACTGTTGGAAAAGGCAGCCATTGGTAACTATATACTGCAGCTCAATTCTCAGGGCTTCTGCAATGAGTTGATGGTCTGGAATAGCAAATATTTCAGAATGGAGAAGAGAGCCAACCCAGACACAGCAATCTGGCTGGACAGGCTTTCAGCAAAATGTGGAATTTTACCAGGCATTTCACAGGCAGACTGAAACCTGCCCATTTATCCTCAAACGTTCTGTGCGGACTCCGTCTCTCAGACAGACACATTAGTGCAAACTTGGCAACTTTAAGACTTGTAGACTTCAACTCCCAGAATTCTGGGACTTGAAGTCCACAAGTCTTAAAGTTGCCAAGTTTGGGGACCCTTGCATTAGTGCATCAGGAAGCTGCCAGGCTCAGTGGCCAATCAGTTCACAATTTAAGGAAGTAGTTCAGGTTTAGCCTCTCCCACACAACCAAGAAGGATAAGTGCAATCCAGGACATCC